GCTCACGCTAAGCCGGGGCTTCCGCTCACGCTAGGCTGCTGTGTTTTTCGTTGTGAAAGTGAAACTACTTTGTTTTGTGTGGAGTAGCACTTGTTGTTTGTCATTTCTCTGATCACAAATGCAGACAGGGTTTTATGTTTACGCGGCACGATGCAATGCAATGCAACGCAACGCAATGCGTAAAAAGACAGTATAAGTCATTATAATCAGTAATTATGTCCCCACTGGATGCAACAAATGCCATGTTTGTAATGGGTTTTAATGTTTTTGTCTCGTCGCTCCGGCCGGGACACGGCATCAACAGTATGGTAAGGGGCGTAACATTTCCGTCTCCGTCACGCTTGAGGAATTCGGCCAATCACAACGCATTGGATAGCTGGCCAATCACAGCACACCTCGCTTTTTCAGACCGATGAGCTTTGTAAAAATCGGCGCGTTTCAGAAAGGCGGGGCATAGAGGAGAAACAATAATGTACAGTATGTGGAAAATAATGTGTTTTTTTAACTTTCAACCGCATAAACACATTTCATTACTCCAAATACACAAAATAATGTTCTTTTTAGCAACATCATATGACCCCTTTAACAGAAACAGACTGTAGAGTGAAAAACTCTCATTCGACTCTCAAATGTCCAGATACCTTTGAAATGGATATTTTTTTGCATAATGTTATTTTTAGTTGTACATAATTTGAATGAGTCAAAAAAAAAACTTTCTAAGAGTTTACAGATGGACCAGTTATTTTCTTTCTTTTAGCTGTTTTCTTTTGACAGCAGTGTGTTGCTTGTGGGTGTGTGTGAGTTGTTTCAGTATTTACTGATAAAGTTTACTTTTGCACTGTTGTAACTCAAGACATGCAAGTGCTACATTTAAATGCTATGGCCTAGTGTAAATGTTAACCTTGCCAGTTCTTGAACAGTCAGATAAGCACTGTTCCTGTTTTCCCATGCTCCTTTAGTACCGGGATGATTTGTCAGTGGACAGCCGCAGAAGCAGCACAATCATTGATAAGGAACCTAGTGAGTATCAGAGTTTTTTGCCAACAGACGTTAAAGGTAACAGACACACAGTATGTGTACATTTGTCTGTGTTTGTGTTGTATTTTTCACAGCCGGCGTCATCACTCAGAATGGACATGTTAGGAAAGGGGAGTCCAGAGGCTCTATGTATGGAGATCCTGGCACTCCAGACGTCAATGAGGTGAATCCGAGACTGCCATGATTTCACTACTGGTGGCCAGTGTTGGGGAATGTTACTTTTAAAAGTAACATGTCACAATGTGTTACTCAATATATTAAAAAAAATAACGAATTATATTTCGTGGTTACTTTTTGTAGTAATTAACACAATCAGCTTTGCATCATGGGATTAAATTAGATTTTAAAATATGTAAATATGGCAAACTGTTTATCATTTTGGGGTCATTTTTAAATATAAATCACGCATTCTCTAACTCCAACAGTGTTTGTGCCTTAAATACACCCATTTTTCCCAACACATGGAAGGGACAAGTTTGCAGTTTGTTTGTCAGATAATCAATTAAATATGCAGTAACATGCATTAACAAAATCAAACTCATCAAATCAATCTCATAAATTGAATAAGTAATGCATTACTCATTAAATTATTTTTTTTTTTTAATGTTTCCCCCAACACTGCAGGTTACCTTATTTAACATCACACAAATCATGCATCATTATTCATTTTTTTTCCCCCCACTTCTGCTCAGTTACACAGGCGCGGTTCCACTATGAGCAATGTACCCACCACTGGCCGTTTGGGGCAGTATGAGATCAGAGGGCTGCTTCTGTGTTTCCTGCATATTGTAAGAACTTTGTCAGATGGTAAGCACACTTTAGCCTTTTTTTATCGTCATAAAACACCATCAGAATTATAGTCACGACTGTAGCCTTACTTTCAGATCAACTTTAATCCTATAGCCACAGGCTCTCTTCTCCAACATTACTTTTGTTCATACTTTTGGTTAGAAATTTTTCAAAACTACTAGCAACCTCCAAGAATTTTCTTTGCAACCAATCCACTCAGACACCAAAGAGGAGAACCACACAATCAACCCCCCACAGCATTGTGACATAGAAGCACTATTCACGTTTTCGCATACAGATGTTTCAAATTCACATATAAAGCATATTTTGAATAATCCTTTGCTATGATGAAGTTTAACAGCTCAGCTTGAATGAAAAAAAGAAAATCTGTATACTGAACATGCAAAACAGAGCAGAATGTGAGCTGGGGGTGACAGCTGTTGCTAAACTTTAAATGACAGGCGTTTAAATTCTGTGGAAAACTGTTGAATGTTCGTTGGAGTTCTGTGGGCACACTGTTCATGCACTCAGATCTTCTTATGACAGGTATCACTTTAAACCAGGGTTTATCGGCCCTGCTCTTGGTTTTCCTAGCACCACACAGTCTGGATGACGCCCACGCCATCTTGCTGGCTCATTTGCAGAGTGATGCTTGATCTTGATTGGATGCGTCAGATGTGTGAGACACCTAAAATATGAAGCAGGATTGAGAAACTCTGATTTTAATGCACATAGAAAACCTAGAATTTTGATTTACATTCAGAAATTCCCACTGAATGTATATATTTTTTTCCTTTGCTCTAAAATAGCACTCACAACATCACAAGACTACAAACTTTATTATTGCTCTTTTTTGAGGTTCTCATTAGAGACATTTGTACAGTATAAGAAATCTGTAGCATCTGAAATCCATCCCAGTAATCTATGAAATCATTTCTTAATTGGTTATTGGTCAAAGAGCATGGGATCAGTTGTCTGGGTGTCCTGAAAATCTTGAGAATGTCACTGTGAACAGGAAGAGTT